ACACACACACACACACACACACACACACACACACACACACACACACACACACACACACACAATTTACAATTTTCCTTTTGGTCATAGAAAAAGTCTATTTTTTCACACTCAAGTCAAGCCCCTCCTTGCACTTGTCACAAACTCCACTCACACTCCTATTTTTCTCTACCTCTACTCCAAACTAAAAACTAGGAGTGAACATCATTTCTTCACCATTCACTCTCACAACAACTCCAACTGCTAGAACTAACTCACCATATAACCTTCTTATCTTCATCATTTTTTTTTCCCACAAAATTCACATGTTCCTTTTTATCTTTTTCTCTATTTGTTCTTCAACTTTTCTTGATCCAACACACATGCAACTTAACTTCTATTTACTAAGACACAATGGCTTGTATAGATGAGCAACAACCAAATTTCAAGCACTATTGTAGAGTGTGCAAGAAAGGTTTTATGTGCGGGAGGGCTCTCGGGGGGCACATGAGGGCCCACGGGATTGGCGACGAGAGCGGAAATATCGACGATGAAGACCCCGTTAGTGATTGGGAGGAGAATAAGTTCGGAGGCGGCATTGATAGGTGTAGCAACAAGAGAATGTACCAACTCAGGACAAACCCTAATCGGCTAAAGAGTTGTCGGGCGTGCAAGAACTGCGGAAAGGAGTTCTTGTCTTGGAAATCTTTTCTCGAGCATGGCAAGTGCAACTCGGAAGATGCCTCTGAGTCCCTCATCTCCTCCCACGATTCCGACTCTGCTGACGAAGATGAAGTTGAAGACGACATTGGCGGAGCGCGTAGCCAGTGGTCCAAGCGAAAGAGATCCATGCGCTCGAAAGTCGGGTGTTTTAGTGCCACAAGCTACCCACCGAGCGAAGAAGACGACATCGTGCTGGCTAGATGCTTAGTGCAACTAGCCAACACAGTAGTCGATCAAATGCCAGTTACCGACCCAGTGGAATCATGCGCTTCCGTAATCCGTGAGGCTCCGCGGAATGGCAAGTATACGTACTTTGCTCCTCCCAAGAGCACGATTGGGCTTTTCGATCAAACCAAAGGGAAAGGAATTGTTTCGACTACTCTCAAGGGGATGTTCGAGTGCAAGGCATGCAAGAAAGTGTTCAATTCCCACCAAGCATTGGGAGGCCATAGGGCAAGCCACAAGAAGGTCAAGGGTTGCTATGCAGCCAAGCAAGACCAAACACCACAACAACACGAAAACAATGCTACTCCATCAATCGAAGATGGCGCGATGATCACTAACAATGAGGAAACGAAATTGTCGTTCGGTCAATTTAATTCGCAGTTCGAACAAGGACCCGACCCGTTGATGGGGTCCACAAGGAGAAAATCCAAGGTCCACGAGTGCTCCATTTGCCACAGGGTGTTCGGCTCGGGCCAAGCTCTCGGAGGACACAAGAGATGCCATTGGATCACTTCGAATTCTCCGGAAACTTCTTCTTTACCTAAGTTCCACTTCCAAGACAACACAACCAACAACAACCACAACATTATCGCAGACCTAACCAACATTAATCACAACCTTCAAATTAATTCAACGGTCAATATACCTGACAAGTTGGACCTCAACGTCCCCGCATGGGCCCACATGACAGGCCCATTAAGCTTCCACTTGTCCACGGACATGCAAATGCAGCCGTGGATTGGGCCCGACTCGAAGAACATTGATTCGGGCCCACACTGTCAACCTCAAGGGTTCCAACTAAAGAATGAAAGCGATGATAACAACAACAACAACAACAACAACAACAATAATGTCAATGGTGACATAATCGAGAGCAACATTGTCAACGGGACAGTCGATACGAAAAGTGGGACCACGCGATTCGTCGAGGACGAGGCAGATAGCAAGTTGATCAAGTTAGCCAAATTGAGTGACTTGAAGGAGATGGACAATAGCGGCA